TATATATATATATATATATATATATATATATATATACATATATATATATACATACACATATACAGATACATACATATCTATTATATATATATATATATATATATATATATATATATATATATATGTATATGTATATATATATGTATGTATAATATATATGTATGTATGATATATATGTATATATAATACGTATATATGATACGTATATATAATATGTTTATATAATATGTTTATATATAATATATTATATATATATATATATATTATATATATATATATATATATATATATAAATATATATAACTATAAACGTGTGTGTGTGTGTGTAAGTTATACATATATAGATGACATGCACATAGACCTACATGTAACGAATCGAAATACTTGAATGCCATTCAAACCGCCCATGCTAATTAACACGTAGGGACACCCCGTCAGACACAGGGACCTGACCCGCCCGCACAAAGCGACGGTCGTTTCGCCACTTCCTCTGGCTATTTTTTTTTGCTCCAAGTCGGAGCTCTTAACCCTTCATTACCGCCGCCTCGAGTACGGTCGCAAATTAGCCACGGTGGCCGCCCGTTCCTCCGGAGAGAGCGTTTTAGCCTTTAAGCTGGAAACCGCGATCCCCCTAAGTGTCATGACCTGAGGTGACCTCAGCCTTTTTTGGTTGTATCTCTTGATAGCGAGCTGGGATATTTTAACATTATTTAAAATTCTTTTTGTGATAGTCATCACTGATTGCCACACTCAACAAGGCGCGGAATCTATCAGTCTAGAACCCAAGTTCGAAACGGAACGCGGAGAGAGCGAGCCCTCGCAAGCCAGGTCACGGCGGACGGGGCGCGCGGGAGCAGCGGGGGATCGCAAATTAGTGCTGGAAGGATTGTTTGCGTCCGCGCCTCTATCTCATTAAGCCGGTGCGACATATTCGAAATAGAGGTGGGACGCTCCCCCGCGCCGGGGGGCCTCACAACCCGACAGAATGCAGTCGAGATCGGGAATTACAAAGGGAACAAGAAAATTCAGAGCGATGGCTGGAAGCCGAAAGGGCAGTTGGTAACTATGACTGAGGGTCAGAATCGGGCTGTCAGCAGTACACAATGGCACAGACGTGTTAATTGGATGGACAAAGACAGGTAAGAGCACACCTGTCTCCCGGACCGTCGGACCTCCTAAAACTGCTAGACTGCTCTCGCCTCTTTCGCGTTCGCTCTAATCTTGACGAAATTTGGAATTTACAGAATGAACAAAATCAGAAATCGAAGAACACCTACTAACTGCGACTGAATATTAAACAACAGTCTAGTTCTATGAATGAACAATATGGTCACACAAAAGCAAATTTTGGTTTTCAGAGTAACGGGATTCGCAAGCCGATCGACTTTGTGCCTCGACATCTAACGCTTCTCACGCTCCCGGCGCCGCTCTCTCACGAATCAAATCTTAATAACATTTTGAATGAAAATGCCATCTCATCCTAAGAATTGAAGCGCGTTCATTATCGCTAAGTAAATCTGCATATCAGTCCTAGTACACTACGATACACTGTAGGTTCTGCCATTTACATACCTTAGTTCCTGACAGGAAGACGCTGTTCCAGGTCCTGAAGTAAAAAGAGTCAAATTCAGTAAGATTCGTTTAACATCGACATGCACGAGTCAACTATGAATAACTAAAGGTGACAAGCGACCCCTTGACAATGTATGCACTGTATACAATTTGGTGATGCAGCTATATATATATATATATATATATATATATATATATATATATATATATATATATATATATATATATGTAAACATAATATACACACACATACAAATATATATGTATACATATATATATATATATATATATATATATATATATGCATGTATGTATGTATGTATGTATGTATGCATGCATATATATATATATATATATATATATATATATATATATATATATTATATATATATATATATATATATATATTATATTGTATGTATGCATGCATATATACATATATATATATATATATATATATTATATATATATATATATATTATATATATATTATGTATGTATGTATATGCATATATATATATATATTATATATATATATATATATGCATGCATGCATGCATGACATACATACATACATACATATATTATATATATATATATATATATATATATATATATTTTTTTTTTTTTTTTTTTTTTTTTTTTTTTTACACACAAATATATGTATATATATACATGTATGCATTTATACATGAAAGACAGTAATCGTCGAGGCTTACCAAGAGGTAGCAGCCGGCACAAGACACACCACCAGCAGAGAAATCACTCTACACTTCGCGCCAGCCTCCATTATTTCCGATTCCAAAACCGATCCGCAGAGCCACAAGCGACACAAACTCGAGCAAGCAACACAGTGTGAGGTGCTTTCCGAACGAGCGCCGCTAAATACCCCTTTCTTCGACGGAGCGCGACAGCCAATCAGCGCCTGGACATCGTTACCTGTGTGACGTCACGCGTTTGAGCGCCAATGACAGCGGGCGCCGGATGTCCGAGAGGACGAGGATTCCGAGGAACCTCCAGGAAGTTCTCTCTGGGAAAGGAACGAGGAGGCTTCCCTGAGAGATAACTCTTTCCTTTTGATTGACAAAGATGGTCAAGTTATACGGTTGACATTGTTTTTGTAGGATTTCTTGATTTTATTTTATTTTTTCGTCTGCTATTGATATCGTTACTGTCACTGTCATCATCATTTTCAGTTTCGTTTTTATTTTCTAAATCATTGCTGCTATTACTATTAGTATTATCATTATCATTATTATTACTATTACTGTTATTACTTTTATTATTATTATTATTATTGCCATTGGTGTTGTCGTTTTTGCTGATGCCGTTATCATTATTATTATTGTCTTTATTATTGTTACTATTATCATCATAAGTACTACTATTGAAGCTATGGTTATTATTATCATCGTCATTACTGTTATCATTATAATGATATTATCTATTTTAATCATCATTATTATTGTCATCATTATTATCATTATCATCATTATCTTTATTAGCATTATCATCATTATCTTTATTAGCATTATCATCATTATCTTTATTGCTATTATCATTATTACCATTACTACTATTATCATTATCATTATCATTATTATCATTATCATTATCATTATTATCATTATCATTATTACCATTACTACTATTATCATTATCATTATTACCATTACTACTATTATCATTATCATTATCGTTATCTTTATTATCATTATTATTACTAATATTATTATGATCATTATTGTCATTATCATTATTGTCATTATCATTATTGTCATTGTCATTATTGTCATTATCATTATTCATTATTGTCATCATCATTATTCATTATTATAATTGCCATTAATTATTATTATCATTATCATTATTGTTATTATAATTTCAATTATTATTATCATGAATATTATTATCATTATTGTTATCAATATTGTAATTATTGTTATCAATATTGTAATTATTGTTATCAATATTGTAATTATTGTTATCAATATTGTCATTATTGTTATCAATATTACCATTATCATTTTTATTACTAGTATTTCTTCTATTGTTGTTATCATTATCATAAAAAATTATAGTTATTATAATTATCATCATTGCATTATCATTTTTGTTGTTTAATATAACTATTATTGGTCTAGTTATTGTTATTATCTATATCATTACAATTTCTATCACTACTATTATCATTATCATTCTTATCACTATTATTGTTATTTTCATTGCTGCTATAATTATCATTATTGTTTTGATTATCAGCATTGATATCGTTATCATCATTATTATTATCATTATTATCATTATTAGTATTTTATTATTATTATTATTATTATTATTATTATTATTATTATTATTATTATTATTATTATTATTATTTCATTGTCATCATTGTTATTATCATTATCATTATTATCATTGTTATTATTTTTACTTTCATCATTATTATTATCATCAAGATTATCATATTCATACCAATCATTGATGTTGTTAGGATTATTAAGATCTTTATCGTTAATATTCGCAGCATTACCATTTCCAGCATTATTGTTATAATCATTATATCATTACTACAGCCATTTCTATTACTACTGGTCTTACCATCCTTATTATCCGCGAATTGTGACAGAACCGAGTACTATAGTGTCTAATTTTCCTTGTTGAGCTATATTGTGCTTCACTGGCTACTGTTAACAGGACGTGCTAAAAGTATTGTGATCTTTTGCCAAATCACATGCCGTTATACTGACACTGAAATAGGCTTATGTAGAAGGTGCAAGTGAGAATGAGGTTTATCAAACGTAAGGCGCTTAATTGATGCATTTCGATTAAATCTTAATGATTACATATGCATCGGCAAGATTGCAAATCATAGGCATTAGTTATCTGTGGTTTAACCTAGCATCCTCTCGACTACTACAAACACACCGTATGTTTTGTATTTTGTCTAATGTATATAATTTTTGATGAAGGATCAGTCTAACAAATCAAGTGCACATCTTGCACTATGTTGTTGTTCATTCTTATCCATACCTTTTCTGAATTTCCCATGATGCACTGCACGCTGAGGCAGAAAACTCTTGCGCCTGATCACTGAGGAATTTGATGCAGCAAAATCAAGTGGATGTGGACCCTTGGCAATGGACCTTGGTTGAATGATGCAAGGCCAAGACCACTGCAAATCTAAAGTTCCTTATTGTGAAAATGGAAAGTTCAGTGAAAATGAAGGCGTGACAACCAAAACTCGTCACAGCCTTAATTCTATCGGGCAAAATCAGAAGCCGCCGCCGACCAAACTTTGTATTTTCCCGACATTCGCCGCCATTTTTCCGCCTCTGCTCGTGGTCCCGCAAACACCTGAAGTATAGCGATGGCAGATTTTTCGCCTGATACCGTGGCTTTGGCAGGATAGGTGTCTTTTTGGAAGG